CCTTGGGCACTTCAGGGGTGTCTTTGGGCTCTCTCGGAGCCCTCGTCATTGGGGGCTTCTTGGGTTCCCTAGAGGGACTCTCCGGCCGTCTGGGACGGCGTCGATCAAAAGAAGGGGGTACTCGATTTGCCTTGCCCCTCTGGGACCAGCATCGCCTCTTGGGGCCCTCTTGGGGTGCTCTCGGGGCCCTGTTGGGCGGTCTTGGGGCCGTCTTGGGGGCTTGGGCCCCTCTTCGGGCTCCCTCGGGCCATCTTGGCGCCGTCTTGAGGCTCCAAAGCCGCATCGGAAGCGAAATGTCGTGAAGGTAAGAATCATTGATGTTCGTTAGGCTTTTGATTGAGTTTCGCGAGAGCACTTGGAGCCGTCTTGTGGTCCTCTTGGGGCCACTGGAGGCACGTCGGGAGCCATCTTGAACCATCTTCGGCTATACTGAGCCATACTGGGGGCCATCTTGGAGCATCGGGGACCCTTTTGGAGCCATCTTAAGCCAAGAAGGGCCCTCTGACGCATCGCGGGGGGGTGGGGGCAGTAGCCTCAAGGAGGGGGGGGAGGGTTTTGAATGAGGAGAGTCCTGTTAGACCACTTACGCCCAGAGGGCGGGTGGGCTTCTGCTGATACTGGAATGCCATAGGGTGAGGACATGCAGCTGGCATTTTCAGGCCACAGGGGCTCGGATATTTTGCTGACAGGAAGCTCCTGGCCCCATGTTACCGCGAGCTGCTCTGGACGCTTTGGACCGTGGGACGACGGCCGACGACCGCGTGCGCTTGGGTCCAGAGGTCTCGACCCCCCAGGCGCCGCGAGGTTGCGGATTTTCGAGCCTCGCCGATTCGGCACCGCCAGCGTGGTGCCGTGCCGGTGCAGGTGCTTGCCCCCTTTGCGTCGGGCTGGTCGGGTGGCCAGGGACGCGAGCCGTCCAGTGGTGTGTGTGTGGTCTCGTTCTGCATCTTCGTGTTTTTCTGTCGATAGCCTCGTGCATCAGTTTCCGAGCTTCTCCAGCCGCAGTTGCTTTGCTGGCGGATCCCGGTCGTTCTGCTTCGGCGCATTGTGCCTACCCTCTTCGGCAGCCCGAGCCGCCTCCCTTTTCGAAGTCTGCAGGGAAGTTTCCTGAGACTCTCTGCCGTAATCGTTACGCCTGCTTATGGGGATGATGAGGATGATGAGCAGGATCGTTGTTGAGGTTCATGGGAGTCCTTGCCGTTGTGCACATCTCTGTGTCCTAGCAGGCTGCTCTGCATATCCAATGCTTGCCACCCTTCTATGTAAGTCTAGTGCACGCGCTGGTTGTATGTGCTTTGTGTTTGATCGAATGCTGCGTTCCGATCTCGTTTGTTGTTCTGATCGCGGCCCGCACGCTACGATGATTGCATCCACGTAACTACGAAAAGCAAGCCGATGATGCTGTGTGTGGAGAAGGGGGGGAGGATGCGAATGCGGGGGCGGAGGTGGAGGAGACAGATGCGAGGAACGCGTGGGATGATGATGATGTTGATCATGATGAGGATGATGACGATGCTGCTGATGATGATGATGATGATGATCGCGATGATGATGCTGATGATGGTGTTGATGACAGTGATGCTGGTGGTGATGATGAGGTTGATGATGACACTGATGATGATGCTGATGATGCTGACGATGATAATGATGCTGCTGGTGGTGATGATGATGACGATGATGTTGAGGATGCTGCTGATGGTAATAATGATGATGACGATGACGATGACGATCATGATGACGATGCTGATGCTGATGATGATGCTGATGTTGATGCTGATTATGATGATGATGCTGATGATGACGACGCTGATGATGGTGGTGGTGGTGGTGAGGATGATGCTGATGCTGATGCTGATGATGCTGACGAGGTTGAGGATGCGGATGAGGATGATGCTGGTGCTGATGATGATGGCGGTGATGAAGATGCTGATGATGATGATGATGATGATGATGATGATGATGATGACGCTGTCGATGATGATGATGCTGATTCTGATGATGATGTTGTTGTTGATGATGTTGATGTTGATGATGATACTGATGATGATGATGCTGACGATCATGATGCTGATGCGAAGTGATGATTGTGATGATGATGTTGATGCTGATGATGCTGGTGATGATGCTGATGCTGCTGTTGTGGCTGATGTTGTTGTTGGTGTTGTTGTCGTTGTTGCTTTTGATGATGATTCCGATGCTGCTGATAATGATGGTGATGCTGCTGATCATGATTCTGCTGCTGCTGTAGTGGTTGATGTTGTTGTTGTTGGTGCTGCTGTTTTTGTTGATGGTGATGCTGATGATGTTGATGCTTGTGGTGGTGGTGATGATGATGATGATGATGATGGCGATGCTGATGCTGATGATGATGATGATGCTGATGCTGATGATGATGATGATGATGATGATGATGATGCTGCTGCTGATGATGATGATGATGATGCTGATGATGATGATGATGATGACGATGATGATGATGATGATGATGATGCTGCTGCTGATGATGATGATGATGATGCTGATGATGATGATGATGATGATGATGATGATGATGATGATGACGACGACGACGATGATGATGATGATGATGATGATGATGATGATGATGCTGATGATGATGATGATGATGATGATGATGATGATGATGATGATGATGATGATGAGGCGGAGGGGGAGGAGGAGGAGGAGGAGGAGGAGGAGAGGAGGAGGAGGAGGAGGAGGAGGAGGAGAAGGAGCAGCAGGACGGAAGAGGAGGAGGAGGATCAGGACGATGAGGAGGAGGAGGAGGTTGCGGACGAGGAGGAGCTGGGGGATGAGGAGGATGAGGAGGAGGAGGAGGAGCAGCAGCAGGATGATGAGGAGGAGACGGTCCATGACCAGGGTGGGGGGGGATTCGGAGGGAGCAGGAGGAGGGATGAGAATGATGATGATGATGATGATGATGATGATGATGATGATGATGATGATGATGATGATGATGCTGATGATGATGCTGATGATGATGGCGATGATGACGATGATGATGATGCTGATGATGATGCTGATGATGATGCTGCTGATGATGATGAACATGCTGATGATGCTGATGCTGATGATGATGCTGATGATGATGATGATGATGATGAAGAGGAGGAGGATGATAGTGATGCTGCTGATGATGATGATGATGTTTATCGTGATCATCATTATGCTCGTGATGATGATCACCAAGATGACGATGACAACGATGATGCTACTTATGGTGATGTTGATGATGATGCCAATGCTGATGATGCTGATGCTCATGATTACGATGATGATGCTGATGCTGATGCTGGTGGTGGTGATGCTGATGCTGATGCTGAGGATGCTGCTGTTGCTGATGATGCTGATGATGATGATGATGATGCTGATGATGATGATGCTGCTGATGATGACGACGATGACGATGTTGTTGACGATGCTGATGGCGGTGATGACGATGGCGATGTCGATGACGATGCCGATGGTGATGGTGGTGGTGATACTGATGATGCTGATGCTGATGCTGATGGCGATGGTGATGATGGTGGTAGTGACGACGATGAATACGATGCCGACGATGATGCAGATGAGGGAGACGATGCTGACGAAGACGATGATTGCTGTTGGCACTGATGTTAGTATTGTTGTTGCTGATGGTGATGTTGCTGCTGCTGCCGACGATGACGATGACGATGCTGATGCTGCTGCTGCTGCTGATGAGGATGATGATGATGATGATGATGCTGATGCTGATTGTGATGCTGATGCTGCTGATGATGCTGCTGATGATGAGGAGGATGAGGAAGATGATGCTGCTGCTGATGATGATGGTGGTGATGATGGTGATGATTGTGTTGTTGTTGTTGTTGGTGGTGGTGGTGGTGGTGGTGGTGAGGAGGAGGAGGAGGAGGAGGATGAGGAAGAGGATGCGGGGGATACGGAGGAGGAGGATACGGAGGAGGAGGAGGAGGAGGAGGACGAGGAGGAGGAGGGGGATGAGGGGAAGGAGGAGGAGGAGGAGGAGGAGGAGGAGGAGGAGGAGGAGGAGGAGGCGGAGGATTGCTGATGTTGCAGATGCTGATAATGGTGGTGATGGTGGTGGTGGTGGTGGTGGTGGGGGGGGTTGTTTGTGGTGGTGGTGGTGGTGGTGGTGGTGGTGGTGGGTGTGGTGGTGGTGGCGGTGGTGAGGAGGAGGACGAGGAGGAGGAGGAGGAGAAGGAGGAGGAGGGAGCGGAGGGGGAGGGGGAGCAGGAGCACGAGGGAGTGATGCTTCAGGCCCTCGTCGCTGTCGCCAGCGGGAAGCTTCAGACCGAACCGCGGCCACACGCCGAGCAGTACCTGGGAGGCGGCGCGCGAGGACCGCGGGGGGGCCTCGATGAGCAGAGCGGCGCTGATCTGCAGCCGTTCGCGACCATTACAGCAGTCTCGTACAGCCTCAGCGGCTCTTCCCTCCTCTTCCTCAGGCGAACCCCCTGGGATTCCCTACCGACACGTCCGGGTTTGTGACAGAGAAATAGGGGGAGAGCAATTTATAAGGAAGCTTGATGGAGGAGGAGGAGGAGGCGGAGGAGGAGAAGGGCAGTGGAGGAGAAGGAGGAAGAGGAGGAGGAGGTCGAGGAGGAGGAGGAGGAGGAGGAGGAGGAGGAGGAGTTGGAGGTGGACGTGGAGGAGGAGGAGGAGGTGGAGGAGGAGGAGGAGGAGGAGGAGGAGGAGGAGGAGGAGGATGGAAGAGCCTCCCCCTCCTCCCTCTTCCCTCGTCCCTTCTCATCCATCCTCGGCCTGAGGGCACACGGGTGGGTTGGGTCCCCACCCCCGTCACACAGGCGGACACCCAGGCAAGGGTCCTGGGTCGTTCTTCCTCCTCCCTGTCCTTCTCGTCCTCCCCGTCCTCCTCCTCCTCCTCCTCCTTCTCCTCATCCCTTCCCCGCCTTTCCGTGCGTCTTTAGGTTGATGTTGAACTACCGCTCTCCTCGTCCTCCTCGCCCTCCCGTTGCGAGGGGCTCGCCAGCTCGTCGGTGGAGCCGTACCGGCCGCGCAGCGGCTCGTCCCTGCGGGAGCTGACGGCACTGGCGGCCGCCGCGGCGGCGGAGTGTGCGCCCGTGTGCCAGGCGTGCCGCCGGGCGGGGAGGGTCACCGCCCACCAAACCACCCCAAGCCAACCCAAGGGCTCCGATGTGCGCTCCATTTCCAGTGGTGGGGGTCGGGGAGCATTGAAAATACAAACATGAAGCCCGTACACCCCCCAATCCGAAAGTCGGATCTTCGTGTTGGGTTGAGGTGGTCTGGTAGGTAGTCAGAGGGTCCAGAACCCTTCGGGTCGTGACGAAAATCACGACGCAGAGTCTTTAGCCCTTTTCGGCCTCAGGGCCCCGGGGCTGTCAAAAACGACTCGGCATGAAAAGCCCGTCCCGGGTACGTGATCGAGACCTCCTAGGGGCCCATGTCATGACAAAAATCATGGCGTGGGTGGTTTGGGAAGCTGGGCGGGAAGCGGCCGGGCCAGTCAGGGGGTGCGGGTTCCGTGGGCGGAGGCGGAGGCGGGGCGGGGACAAGATACCAATGCCGCTGGGCCTCCGGGGAGGCCCTCGTCCCCACGGCTGGATTCGCTTCGGAAGTCTGGTCAGGATGCGCGCTGGGTGAGGTCCAGGGAGTTGCGGTATCAGTATCTTTTAGTTCCCCTAGGAACTGCAGAAGACGTGGGCTGGGGCGGGGGAGGGGTGTAACAGGGGGATGTGAAGATGGGGTGGTCCTGGGCAGGGGATGGGAGCGATGTGCGCGACAAGGGAGGACCGCCCCACGACGGCCCAAGAGGCTCCCAAGGGGCTCCGAATACGGCCCAAGAGGGCCCCAAGACGGCCACGGCCCAAGAGGGCCCCAAGACGGCACCCCAAACGACCCCAGAGGGCCCCAAGACGGCCCCAGAGGCGCCCAAGACGGCCCAAGAGGGCCCCAAGACGGCCCCAAGAGGGGGACCACGAACCGAAAAGTCTAGCCTTTCGCCCCAAGAAGCTCCCAGGAGGCCCCCCAGAGCCCCCCACGAAGCCCCAAGAGGCCCCCAAGAGGTCCCCAAGAGGCCTCCAAAAGGGCTCCAAAAGGGCCCCAATAGGACTCCCAAGTTGGCCCAGAGACGCCAAATAGAGAGCGATCGGTAACGCAAAAAGCTCTTCACACCAAGGCTCCCAAGAACGAACGGTGACGTACACAAGCTGATAAGACCAAGGCTCCCTGCAGAGAGCGGTGACGTAACAAGTTCCTGACACCAAGGCCCAGCCAAGGCTCAGGAACGGGCGGCAACGCAACAATCTCTGAACACCAAGGCTCCCAAGAGCGAGGGGTGACGTAACAAGCTCTCAACGCCAAGGCTCCCAGTACGAACGGTGGTGTGAGTAATTTCGGTTTCTGTTTCTGCAGCGCTCTTTCCGTTTCTGTGCCGGTCCAGGTAACGAAAAGAGTGAGGTACGAGTGATGATGCTGTGTTTTGGGCGAAGTTCTTAAGGGGGGGTTCCAGGGGGGGCGTAGCGCGAGCGGATGGGTGACGGAAAGAGCGAGGTACGAGCGAGTGACGTTGAGTTGGGGCGAAGGTCTTCTTAGGGGGGGTGCAGGTGGGGGGCGAGGCGGGCAGGCGCAGTCTAATGGTCCTATTTTTCCCCACATCCAAACTGGGGTTCTTGTTTTCTCTGGGCACCCCGCGCAGGAACAGGAACACACACACACACCCACTCACACTCACTCACACTCTCTCATCATCAACCTCATCAGCATCATCGATGATGCTCTCTCACATGCTTAGTCACTCACATACTCATCATCATCATCACTCGCACTCTCTCACACGCTCACGAACATCATCATCATCATCATCATCGGCATCGGCATCATCCTCATTCAAACATCATCATCGCCACCACCACTCACAATCAATCATCATCCTCTTCACCACTCATCTTCACCACCACTCATCATCCTCATCCTCATCATCGTTGAGTAAATTGTGAGGAAGTCTCAGGCGGGAGCCCCCTCCCTATGGGGCCCGCAGATCATGTTGGTAATCCGAGCGGGTCATCGGAAACCTGTAACTGTCGTCACTTTTGGGCTCGCCAAGCCTGAAAATGGAGGAAGTCTCAGGCGGGAGCCTCGTCTGTGAGTGAATTGGGAGGAAGTCTCAGGCGGGAGCTCCCTCCCTATGGGGCCCGCAGATCATGTTGGTAATCCGAGCGGGTCATCGGAAACCTGTAACTGTCGTCACTTTTGGGCTCCTCAAGCCTGAATTTGGAGGAAGTCTCAGGCGGGAGCCTCGTCTGTGAGTGAATTCTGAGGAAGCTCAGGCGGGAGCCCCCTCCCTATGGGGCCCGCAGATCATGTTGGTAATCCGAGCGGGTCATCGGAAACCTGTAACTGTCGTCACTTTTGGGCTCGTCAAGCCTGAATTTGGAGGAAGTCTCAGGCGGGAGCCTCGTCTCTGAGTGAATTGTGAGGAAGTCTCAGGCGGGAGCCCCCTCCCTATGGGGCCCGCAGATCATGTTGGTAATCCGAGCGGGTCATCGGAATCTTGTAACTGTCGTCAATTTTGGGCTCCTCAAGCCTGAATATGGAGGAAGTCTCAGGCGGGAGCCTCGTCTGTGAGTGAACTGCGAGGAAGTCTCAGGCGGGAGCCCCCTCCCTATGGGGCCCGCAGATCATGTTGGTAATCCGAGCGGGTCAGGAATCTGGCTGCAGGTGCACGGCTTCAAGGAGTCTCCGATCTACCAGGAGGTCGCCGAGGTGCTGCGACAGGGCGCCGAAGGCGCCGACGACGACGGCCAGGCCGAGGCGCGGGCGCGGAGCTTGCTGATGTTCAGGCCCAGCGAAAGGGAGTTCACATGGCAGAGCTCGGGGGCGCACAGCGTGCGCCGCTCGGGGTTCACCCTGACGCACGCGTCCTACCTGACCTCCACGCTGTCGCAGGGCCAGACGCTGCGCAAGGGCGTCACCATCGACTGCGCGAGAGACGAGGACGCTGGCCGCACGGGCATGTCGGACGAGCAGTGGTGGCTGCACCTCTACGTCATGTTCTCCCGCGCCACGTGCATGCGGAACATGCTGATCCTGCGGCCGCCGCCGCGAGAGTTCCTGGAGTGCGGGCCGCCGGCGTCCCTGCGGAAGGCGCTCCTGGAGTTCGACAAGAGAGCGGTTTTGTCCAGGGCGGAGGCGAAGCAGCTCGCGGCAGAGCTGGGCTTCGTGCTGCCTTCCGCCTGAGCGCGGCTGCGCCTCGCTCGAAGCCCGCGGGGTTGTCCCAACGGCTTGGTCTTGCGCGCCAGCGGCTCGCGGGGTTGTCCCGACAGCCTGGCCCGCGGGGTTGTCCCAACGGCTGCGCGACGTGACCAGTAGAGAACGCGCCTGTGCTGGCCGTGGCGGCGACGGCGCCGAGGAACATCGACATGCGCGCTCATGCAACAGGAAGGGGAGGAGGTGGCGGGGCGCGGAACAAACAGGGGGGCGAGGATGGGGACAACGTAAGGAGTGGAAGGGGGGCCCGCGCCAAGGCGAGAGGAAATATACGCAGAAGAGACAGCCAGGACGCCTCGCCAACCACGAGGGCGACGGTGATGGTTTTTTCCAGATTCGCCCAGAGGATTCTTATGTGGGGTTCTTCCGTCGGAGTTTTTTTTTTTTTTTTTTTTTTTTGTTGTTCCTCTCCTGTAGGGTTTTTGTATGTTCCCTACCTAGGCTCTGCCTAGAAGGGTTCTTGCCCTGTGTCTTAAAGGGGCCGGGCAGTGGTCCCCGCCCCGGGCGGTTCCCCCAGGATCCGCCCCGCGGTTCCCCCAGTGACGTTCCCTTAGCTTCGCGTTGCTTATCTCATCTTAGCTTAGCTTATTTCATCTTAGCTTAGCTTAGCTTCATGATTGTTTCTGATTGTGTGGATTACTTATTTCCCTACCTAGGCTCTGCCTAGAGGGTTCTTACTCTGTTTGCTTAAAGGGGCCGGGCAGTGGGGTTTGCCCCGGGCGTTTCCCCCAGTTGCGCCCCCTGGGTTCCCCCAGTTGCGCCCCCTTAGCTTAGCTTTGCTTAGCTCATCTTAGCTTAGCCTAGCTTAACTTAGCTTAGCTTAGTTCAGCTCAGCTTAGCTTAGCTTAGCGCAGCGCAGCATTAGCATAGCATCGCATAGCATAGCATAACACATCATATCATAGCATATCATAACATACCATAACGCAACATAACATAGCGCGACATAACACAATACAGCATATCCTAGCATATCATATCATATTATAGCAAATCATATCATAGCACAGCATAGCGCAGCCTAGCATAGCATATCATAGCATAGCATAACATAGCATAGCATAGCATAGCTTAGCTTATCATAGCACAGTCCAGTTTAACATAGCATAGCATAGCATAACATATCATAGCATAGCGCATCATATCATAGCATAGCACAGCATAGCGCAGCATAGCATAGCATAGCAGAGTATAGCATAGCGCAGCATAGCATAGCATAGCATAACATAGCATAACATAGCGCAGATTATCATGTCATATCACAGCCTAACATAACATATATTAGCGCATCATAGCATCGCATATCCTAGCATAGCGCAGCATATCATAGCATAGCGCATCATATCATTTCATACCATAGCATATCATAGCATCGCATAGCATAACATAGCATAGCATATCACACAATAACACAACATAGCGCATCATATCATAGCGCAGCATAGCATAGCATAGCATAGCGTATCATAGCGCAGGATAGCACGGCATCGCATATCATAGCCTAGTTTAGCATAGCACAGCGCAGCATAACACAGCATCGCGTAGTATAGCATACCATAGCATAGCATAGCGCAGCATCGCATATCATAGCACAACATAGCGCAGCATAGCATATCATATCATAGTATAGCATAGCGCAGCATAGCATATCATAGCATAGCGCAGCATAGCATAGCATAGCATAACCTAGCATACCATAGCGCAGCCTAGCATACCCTAGCATATGATAGCATAGCATTGCGCAGCATAGCGCAGCATAGCGCAGCATAGCGCAGCACAGCATAGCATATCAGCGCGCATACCGCTACATAGGCGCAGCATATCATAGTATAGCGTAGCACAGCATAACATAACATAACGCAACACAACATATCATAGCATAGCCTAGCATACCATAGCGCAGTCTAGCATAACATAGCATCGCATAGCAGTAGCATCGCGCAGCATAGCGCAGCATATCATAGCATCGCTACTACTACTACTACTACTACTACTACCACTACCACTACCACTACCACTACCACTACCACTACCACTACTACTACTACTACTACTGCTGCTGCTGCTGCTGCTGCTGCTACTACTACTACTACTACTACGACGACTCCGACTCCGACTACGACGGCTACTATTACTACTAGTACTACTACTACTACTGCTACTACTATTACTACTACTACCACTACTACTACTACTACTACTACTGCTGCTACTACTACTACCGCTACCACTACTACTACTACTACTACTACTACTACTACTACTACTACTACTACTACTACTACTACTACTACTACTGCTACGACTACTACTACTACTACTACTACTACTACTACTACTACTACTACTACTACCGCTACTGCTACAACTACGAAGATGAGGAGAAGGAGGAGGACGGCGTTTACCGCTCCTACTAATGTTGCTTTCCTAGAGGCTCCAATTCCTAGGTAGGGTCGCACTGGGATATTTTTTTTCGGATTCTCCCTCCAGACGGCCGAAGAGCGCTCCAAGAGAGCCCAAGACCGCCCAAGACGGCCCAAGAGGCCCCCCAGAGGCCCCCAAGAGGCGCCCAAGGGGCGTCCCAAGAGGGCCCCAAGAGGCCAACACCATCAATTTACCCGAGGCAAGCGTATATTTTTATCATCTACGGCTTCTCGCCTTTCACGGCGTTGACGACGGCCCAAGAGGCCCCCAAGACCGCCCCATAACGGCCCAAGAGGCTCCCAAGATGCCCCCCAAACGGCCCAAGAGGGCCCCCAGACGGCTCAAGAGGCGCCCAGGACGGCCCAAGAGGGCCCCCAGACGGCCCCAAGAGGGGGACCACGGACCCGAAAGTCTAGCCTATCGCCCCAAGACGCTCCCGGGAGGCCCACACGGCCCCCAAAGAAGCCCCAAGAGGCCCCCAAGAGGCGTCCGACGAGGCCATAAGGAGGCGAACATCATTGATTTCCTGCAAGATAACGGACATTTTTAGCATAGACGGCTTTTCGGCGTCCACGGCGTTGAAGACGGTCCAAGAGGCCCCCAAGACCGCCCCAAGACGGCCCCAGAGGCTCCCAAGAGGCCCCCAAAACGGCCCAAGAGGGCGCCAAGACGGCCCAAGAGGCGCCCAAGACGGCCCAAGAGGGCCCCAAGACGGCCCCAGAAGGGGGACCACGAACCCGAAAGTCTAGCCTTTCGCACCAAGACGCTCCCAGGAGGCCCCCACAGACCCCCAAGAAGCCCCAAGAGGCCCCCAAGAGGCCCCCAAAGGGGCTCAAAAAGGCCCGCAATAGGACCCCCAAGAAGGCTCAGAGAAGCCAAACAAAGAGCGATCGGTAACGCAAAAAGCTCTTCTCACCAAGGTTCCCAAGAGCGAACGGTGACGTAAATAAGCTGATAAGACCAAGGCTCCCAGCAGGGAGCGGTGACGTAACAAGTTCCTGACACCAAGGCCCAGCCAAGGCTCAGGAACGGGCGGCAACGCAACAATCTCTAAACACCAAGGCTCCCAAGAGCGCGGGGTGACGTAACAAGCTCTCAACGCCAAGGCTCCCAGTACGAACGGTGGTGCGAGTAATTTCGGTCACGATTCTGAAGCGCTCTTTCCGTTTCTGTGCCGGGCCCAGGTCTAATGGCTTTCGGCCCATCCCGCCACCGTGCCTGCGTTGCGGGTTAGGGGCCTCCTGGATGTTCGTTTAGATATCGTGGGTGGCCTCGGTGGTCTCTTGGAGGCAGTTTTGGGGCCTCTCGAGGGCCATTTGGGGGCCTTTCGGGTAATTTTTTTTAGCCTCTTGGGGGCCTCGTGAGGCCTCTAGGGGTCCTCTTGGGCTCGCCTGGGGGCCTCTTGGGGCTCGTGGGGGCCTCTCTGGGCGGAGGGCTCGAATTATAGTTCGTGTTCTCCCTCTTGGGCTCCTCTCGGGGCCGTCCTGGAGCCCTCCTGGGCGATCTCGGGCGCCTCTTGGCTTGTTTGGGGCCCTCTTGGGCTGTTTGGGGCCCTCTTGGGGGCGTCTTGGGCCGTCTTGGGGCGGTCTTGGGGGCCTCCCGAAAACGCGACGAGGCGAACAACATTGAAAACCACCAAGAACTTGGGGGTCCTGTTGGAGCGCTCTTGGTTGGGGCTTCTTGGGGGCCTGGGCGCTTTCCGGGGCTCTCTTGGCTCGTTTTGGGGCCCTTTGGCCTCTGAGAAGTCGCTTCGGGCAGCCCTGGGACGCGCGGGAACGCCCGGGACATTTTGAGGATTTGGGGCCCCTGCCCTTCGAATACTAATCCCAGGGTCTTGAGTACAGAAAACAGAGGACACATGAGGACCAGGGGTGAACTCCACTTCGCGCTTCGCGGCATGTTGGCGGATAACATCAGAACGGGTATCCCGCCGTAGTGCAAATCACACTTTGTACCACCGAGCCGGATTCACCATGCAGGGATTTCAAGTAAAATTGGCAATTCTTGGCTTAGGCTTGATCATGCGCCAGCAGTGTGAGCAGGTCACCACTTCTGTGCTGTTGAGTTAGCTCCAGCTTTCATCAGTGATGTGTACATGCGTATGACGTTGCACGTAACCAACCCGTCCTTGAGAATCAGGTCCGGGGGGTGTTTCGGTATACAACCCCAGGTTAATGTGCAACTGCGGGCGTTTGGATCAAATAGTGGTAGCCGCCATCAGGCGGTGCGGCACACCTTTTGTACTTTGTCGTTGGCCGCTTACTGCAAAACAGAGCCCCGTCTTCATTACGATCGTTCTGGTAGATTTGCAGGAGTTGGAGGAAGAGGAGGAGGAAGAAGAAGAGGAGGAGCAGGGAGGTTCAGGAAGAGGGGTAGGGACGATAAGGAGGAGGAGGAGGAGGAGGAGGAGCTCAGGAACCATCCCGCCCTCCAAGAGGCCTCTTCAGAAGCCTCCGACTCCTCGAGAGAGGCCCCCCCCACTCTTCTGAGGCCGTCGCGCCCGCTCTGTGTCGTGCGCTCCGCTGGCATGCCGTGCCCAATCCCCCTCCTGGGAAGGCCAGGGCCCGCCGAGCCTCTTCGATCCTCCATCCCTCACCTCCTCGGTCCTCGATGCTCGAATGTGTGATGGTGACTGCGTGGCCAGCTTTCGTCCCGCACCAGAAGTGGAGCGACGCCAGAACGGGGGAGGCCGAACAGATCACGAAAACGGGCACACGGCTTCGCTCGAGCCCTGCCTCCTCGATCCTCGATCCTCGATCCTTGGCCTGCCCCTCGGCGCTCGCTCCTGGGTCCTGGGCCCTCTTCGATCCTCGAGCCCCGCTCCGCGAAGGACCCGGGTCGGCTGCGCTCTCCGCGGCGAGCGCGCGCCTCCGCCCGCCGAGTGAGGGCCCGTCGAGCCTCGTGAACTTCAGCCTGCAGAAGGAGACCTCGACGCTGTCGGAGGCGGTCCGCGAGCCCCGCTACTGGCTCGTCTTCGTGGCCTTCGGGCTCATGTGCGGGATCGGCCTGGAGGCCGGCGCGGGTCGGAGGATCGAGCAGCAGGAGCGAAGGCAGGACGCACGTGTGCATGAAGCCGCGGTGGTTTCGGAAGCACGCGCTGCGCGAACGTGCGTAGCACGAGGCTGGCCTTGCGGGGTGCGGGGCCGTGGGTGGGCGCGTATGTCTTGTGTGGGCTTCCTAGAAAAAAAAGAAGCTGGTATACACATGCTTGTTCGGCGTTCCGCGCAGATCTCCCAGATCGGCGTTGGGTCCCCTGGCGGCCACTCTGGCGCCGCCCCTGGCGCGCTCCGCGTGCCAGGAAGCCGATCCAATAATTCCTCGCGGACCTCCTAAAGTTTTGTTTATGTATGCCGCCTGTTGTTCTTCTAGAGGAGTAAGAGGCACCGATGCCGCCACCCTTGCCTCTTGGGCCTCCCCGGAGGCCTTCGTCGCCACGGCTGGATTCGCCTCGAGATCATGGTCAGAACGCACCCCAGGAGAGGTCTGGGAGAGAAGCGGCATCGGCATTTTTTGGCTTCCCCGGTGGGCGCCAGCGGGAAGCGCATGCCTCTCCAGGGGGGGTCAGCGGCAGGGGGACAACGCTCCTCCCAGGGAGGGGGGAAGAGAGTAGAAACACCCTCCCAGGAGTGAGCAGAGGAAGGGTACGCCCCTCCAGGGGGACGGAGGATTCAGGGCTTTGGGAAGGGGGAGGAGTAGAAGCACCCTTCCAGGAGTGAGCAGAGGAAGGGTACGCCCCTCCAGGGGGACGGAGGATTCAGGGCTTTGGGCGCAGCCCCGGAGGCCTCCGGAGGCCTCCGCGGGGGCCTGCGGAGGCATGGGCCTCTGGAGACCGTGCGCCCTCAGACTTCTGCCGGCCCCTGGAGCTCGCGACCCCTGCTGCTGCTCCTCCTCCTGTCCTTCTCGTTCTTGTTCCCCCCTCCTTCCCGTCCTCCCCCCTCCTACCCCGTATTTCTCGCACTCCACGCCAAATGGTCCAGTTGGCCGCGGAGGCCCTAGCAGTGGGGATGCCAGGGAGTAGGACTTGCTTCCCTGTGGAGCACGTTGCAAGACCAAAACTTCCAGCCGCGAGCCCAGGGCAGAAGGGCCAGGCAGCGCAGGGCCAGAGAGGGAGCACAGCGCAGAGGGCGGAGGCGGGAGCGAAGGAGGCGTGCCGGGGCAGACGTGCGCACACACCCACGCACACACACACGCAGCACACAACACACGGCGCACAGCACACAGCACACAAACACACAAACGGACAACACACAACACACCCCCCCCCAACATGCCACAACGCCCAACACACACTGCACAACACACCACACACCACACAGCACACAGCACACAGCACACAGCACACAGCACAGCACACACACAACCACACAATCACACAAGCACACAAACACAAACGCACACACACACGCACACACACACACGCACAAACACACACACAATCACACACATACAGAAACACGCAAGCATACAAGCACACAAACACACACAAACGCACAAACGAACAACCACACATCACACAGCACACAACGCACAATACACACAACCACACAAACACACACAAACACACAAGCACATACACATACACAAGCACAGACACACACACAGACACACAGACACACAAACGCCCAACCATACAAATAGACAAACACACAAACACACAACACACACAAACACACAAACACATAAACACACAAACCCACAACCCACACGACACAACACACAACACACGACACACGACACACGACACACGGCAAACGACACACGAAACACGATACACGCCGCACGACACACGACACACGACACACGTCACACGACATACGACACACGACATGCGACATACATAATACACACAGCACACAACACAACACACAGAACACAGTTCACACACACACGACACACACACACACACCACACAACCCACAACACACAACACACACAACACACCCGACACTCACAGCACACACAACACACAACACGCACAACATACAACACGCACAACACGCACACCACACACACAACTCACAACACACAACACACAACACACAACACACACAGCACACAGCACACCATACGCACAACATACAACACACACACACACGGCACGCACAACACACTCAACATACAACGCACACAACACACAATCCACACAACACAACACACACACACACACCACACCGCGCACCACACACCACACAACACACAACACACAGGCACACAGACACATAGACACACAGACGCACAGACACACAGACACACAGACACACATACAGACACACAGACACACAGACACACAGACACACAGGCAGACGCACAGGCAGACACACAGTCACACAGACACACAGTACACAACACACAACACACAGCTGACAGACACACGACACAAATAGCACACAGCACACAACGCACAACACAGCACACACGCACAGGCACAGGCACAGTGTCAGACACAGGCACAGTTACACACAGACCCACACACAGACACACAGACACACACACACAGAAACACTCACGCACACACAGACACACACACACACAGACACCACACGGAGACACACTGACACAGACACATGATCTCACAGACACAGACACGCACAATCACACGTTCAGCGACACACAGACAAACAGACACACACAGACACACACGCACACACCCACACATCGACACAAACACACACAGACATACGGACACACCGACACAAACTCGTACATACCAACACACACGCACGCAGACGTGCACAGACACACACAGACACACACACACACACACACACTTTTTGACGATCGAGGCCTCGCGCGCAACGACGAGGCGCAGACAGTTTCCAAGTGAGCCACACATAGACGTACACACACACGCACAAGCGCGCATGCACCCTTCTTTCGTCGCAGCACGGCAGAGGCAATACGCACGGGCGCTCGCAGTAGTCGGGGATGCTCGACCAGCTAATTGTCCAGATGCAAGATGGTGGGCATGGGAAGGCAGGGCGGCCGCGGAGAGAGCGGAAAGGGGGGGAGGGTACACACACACAGGTTAACGAATTTCGCGGCGAGCGCGCCGGTGCGGCCCTCGGGCCACAGGGGGGCACTGCGGAACACGGGGGCGCACGTGGCGGTCGGCGAGGGCGCTGGTGTGCTGGCAGACGCCCTCCCACCAGACCAGGCAGGCCCCGCTTGGCCGCCGGAAGCCCCGCTCCGACCATGCCACGGATGGCAGCTCCTCGGCGCCATTGGCGGCTTCTGCGGCCGGGCCTTCGCAGTCGGCGCGCGCTCTCCGCGACGAGGCGCAGCGGGTCGTCGCGATGGCCGTGGACGAGCTGCTGCGGCGCAGGGCGCTCGGCCGCCCGCCCGAGGCCTCCTTCGGCGCTTCCTCTGGCACCGACTCGGAACCCCGCCTCTCTTCTCCGCATGCGCCGGTGGGCTTGGCGCCGGGCTGCTCGCGACCGCGCTTGGAAGAGGGCGCGCTCGCGGTGGTGCCGCCCTTCCCCGGCCTGGCCGAGGTGGTCAAGGAACAGCTCGAGGTGGAGGGAGTGGCCCTCGGCCGCGTATGGGATCAGGCCCGTCGGTGTTGCGGGCCGCCGCTGGCGCGAGGCGTGCGCGGCCGTGGACACAGCGGCGAACCCGGAGGCGTCCAGCCCGACGCCCAGCCCTCCGCGCCCCCGAGGATTTCGCCAACGTCCACGGCGCCCTGGAGGCCGTGCTGGACAAGGAGGCGGGCGGCGACGAGGCCGTGCCCGAGCGGGAGCTCGGGGGCCAGGCCTCCGTCGACGTCATGGTGATTGCGGACGCGGTGCAGGGGGACGTGTCCCTGGAGGGG